TTTTCTTTGCTTTTTATTATCCAAACAGTCTTGGCTATATACTGTTAAAATTTTGTAGAATTGTGAATCATGGAACATACTCAAAAAAACGATTTTAAAATATAGATAACAGGTGCAAACATTCTCCTATTTGAATGCTTAGCAAGATTTAGCAAGGCTGTAGATAAATAATAAAAAAGAAACATGGTGAAAAAAAGAAATGACGGGATCTCCATATTATGCACTATATTTAACTTTTAACAAAACGATAATACATTTAAATTTGGAACTGTTACAGCCATTTTAATTATGAGCATTAGCAAACTTCTTACTGAGTGAATTGTTATGCAAATTAGCAATTATCTCAGCTTCTTTTTAGTGCACATCCCAGAACTTTAAAAAAGAATAGCTCCTGGACGCTTTGACCTTTTGTTTTGAAATTTTCACAAATGATTGAAAATGTGTTTATCTTCAAAATGCCGTCGGGGCATTGTTTTTGGTTGAACAGTGTTACAACAATCGTACAGACAACTAGCCTGGGGGTTAATTTATGCATAAACTTGAAGTAGTGAAATTTGAGCTGCTGCCCTGCAAAATTGACAACTGGTAGACAGTTTTCAAGACGGCAATTTCTTCATAGTAAACAGATGTACCCATAAACCAACAAATTTTTAAAATTCATACAATAAGCTTTCCAAAAATATATAGTTTTGTGGACAAGGGAGGTCATCTTGGTTTCCTAATTAACTAATTAAAATACCTGTCAGGTAAACTGCATCTCTACCTTAAGTCTGAAATGGGTTTATCAACTGTTTCAGGTGGGTTCCATTATCAAGCAATTTGCTGGTGGTGGGATTCACATGTTGGGTACATGTGTCTGCGATTTCTTTTGTACAATTTCCCTGATGTAGTTTCAACAAGCAACTTCTAGGCTGTGGCAGTGTTTCCTTACCACACCATATTCCCATTTATTCCGAGGGTTTCGAAATCTTACAGACTGTCCTGAAATCGGTTGGCGAATGTTATGGCTTGCTGTGCGGTCATAGTATTTCTGCTTGCACTGCCTGGCCTTTAATTTATTCAGCATAGGGGGAACAATGTGAGGTTTGATCAGGTTTTCAGCAGTTGGAAGTTTTGATTTGAGAATTCTGCTTTTTAACAACTGACTTGGGGCAAAACCATCTGTTCCATCTAAGGGGGTGTTCCGGTATTCTAACAATGACATGTACGGATCTTGGCCAGCTTTAAATGCTTTTTTCATTAACCGCTTCACAGTTTTTACAGCGTTTTCTACTTGGCCATTTGATTGAGAATAACCAGGACTAATTTTGATATGATGGAACTCCCATTGGTGAGCAAAATCTTTATACTCCTGGTTGTCATAGCAGGGACCATTGTCACTGATTACTGTATCCGGAATTCCCTCTCTGGCAAACACAGATTTAGTTGCTGATATCACTGCATGGGCAGTTTTGTTTGGAATTCTGATTACCTCCGGAAATTTAGAATAGTAATCTATTAAGATTAGGTAATTTTCTGTTCCTATTTCAAACAGGTCGGTGCCGATTTTAGACCATGGGTGGTCTGGTATTTCATGCGGAATCATCGGTTCGCATGGCCTTTTACTGCGAAATTCCATGCATGTAGAACATTTAGAGACTATTTCTTCAATTTCGCTATTCATACCTGGCCAAAACATAATTGATCGAGCCCTTTGTTTAGACTTTACTATTCCTTGGTGACTTATGTGTAGTTTTTTAATGATTTCAGGGCGCATACTTGAAGGAATTATCACTTGATTGTTGCGAAACAACAGCCCATTAGAGTAAGTGATTTCATCGCGAAATGTATGAAAAGGTTTAGCTTCATCCGGAATGCGTGTCCTACAATTTGACCACCCTGAAAGGACAAGGTTAATGACCTTTATCAAGGTGGGGGTCATTCACGGTTTCCTCCCGTAACATAGCTAGTTTCTGGTCAGAAATGGGCATTTGATTTATGATACTTAGAACGTCGTTGTCATCATTGACTTGTGGAGGAGCATCCATTAATGGGGCTCGACTAAGCATATCAGGTACAAACATGTCTTTCCCTGGTTTGTATATAACTTCTAAGTCGTATCTAAGGAGAGTCATGCGCATGCGTTGTAAACGAGGGCTAAGTTTGTGCAGCGGTTTTTTGAATATTCCAACCAGTGGTTTATGATCCGTCTCCACTATAGTTTTAGCTCCAAATATATAGTCATGAAAGCGACTGCAACCAAAAAG